AGCCACTCTCTCCACACGAGCTGCGAGAGTGGTTTGCCCGGCGCTGGAGGCGTGCTGCTGGAGCTGGAGGTTCTTCGGCTGCTGAGGGTGCTGGTGCCGCGGGTCCCGGAGGTGCTCGTACTGGGAGTACTGGAGCTGCTGGGCCTGCGGGTACGACTGGAGCTGGAGCTGCTGAGGGTGTTGGCGCTGAGGCTACTACTGTTGGTCCTGGAGGCGGTCCTGCTGGGGGTGCTACTGGTGCTGCTGGAGGTACTGGAGCTGGAGGTGCTGCTGGCGCTGGTGCTTCCGCTGGGGGTACTGGTGCTGTCCCTGCTGTGTCTGGAGTCGCCGCGCGGCCTCGGCCGTACTTCGTTCCGCTCCTTCAGCAGGTTCTTGGTCTCCCGCCTTCTACTGGTCCTCCTCCTCCCTTAGAGTGTCCACAGCCTGTCCCGTCACAGTTACAGTTACAGCCGGCCTCCCCACTGCCCGCTCCTTCTCCCTACACTGGTCCTACTGGAGGTCTGGCTGAGCGTCGTGAGCCTGCGTCTCACCCTGCGTCGCCTGTCCGTCTTGCTCGCACTAGTGGTCGTGGTTCGCGTCAGCGTCCTCCTCCTGTCCCTGGCACGCACCGGATGTCTCTGCGTCCGTCCACTGCTCCTCTGCGTGCCCCTTTGCCTTCTCCTCCTGAGTCCTCTCTTCCCGACCCGGAGTCGGACTCTCTTCGTGCTGCCAGTCCTACTGTCACGCGTCTCCTTGCTACTGTCGTCACTGACCCTTCCTTTGAGTCCTCTGCTGCGTCTGCCCTAGTTGCTGAGCTCGTCGACTTTGCTGCTCGCTGTCGTCTAGACTACGCTGCTAGTCTTGTCGTTGAGTCTGAGTCTGTCTGTCCTCCGTCCGTCGGGGGTGAGTGTGCCCTTGGCACGGACGTCCTTGAGGACAGGCAGGAGGAGTTCCAGTGTTTGGCTGCTGCTTCACCTCATCTCGTGTCCGTACTGCTTACCCCTGAGGGAGACCCGGATGCACTTGACATCCCGACTCCGCGCTCTTACGCGGAGGCGATAGAAAGTCCCTACTCCTCTCAGTGGCAGGCAGCTATGGACACAGAGATGGCTTCCTGGAAGTCCACAGGCACCTACGTTGACGAGGTTCCCCCGCCTGGGGCGAACATCGTCAGTGGCATGTGGATTTTCAGGGTGAAGCGACCGCCGGGTTCTCCGCCTGTCTTCAAGGCGCGTTACGTGGCTCGTGGCTTCAGTCAGCGGCAGGGAGTTGACTACTTTCAGACCTTCTCTCCCACCCCAAAGATGACCACTCTTCGGGTACTGCTGCACATAGCTGCTCACCGCGACTACGAGCTGCACTCTCTTGACTTCAGCACTGCTTTCTTGCAGGGCAGCCTGCACGAGGAGATCTGGCTGCGTCGCCCACCTGGCTTCACTGGGTCTTTTCCTCCTGGCACCCAGTGGAGCCTCCGGCGGCCAGTCTACGGTCTCCGCCAGGCACCGCGTGAGTGGCACGACACACTGAGGACTACACTTGCGGCTCTTGGGTTTGCTCCCTCTACTGCCGACCCGTCGCTGTTTCTGCGCACCGACACTTCTTTGCCGCCGTTCTACATCCTCGTGTACGTCGACGACTTGGTCTTTGCCACAGCTGACACTGCTGGACTCGCCCACGTGAAGTCCGAGCTGCAGAAGAGACACACGTGCACAGACCTGGGTGAACTGCGCAGCTACCTTGGCTTGCAGATCACCCGGGACAGAGCACGCCGCACCATTACCCTGACTCAGTCACACATGGTGCAGCAGGTCCTTCAGAGCTTCGGCTTCACGTACTCCTCGCCTCAGGCCACTCCTCTGCCTACTCGCCACTCGCTCTCAGCTCTGCCTTCGGATGAGTCCGTAGAGTCGAGTGGCCCGTACCCAGAGCTTGTTGGCTGCCTCATGTACCTGATGACCTGCACACGACCTGACCTCGCATACCCTCTTAGCATTCTCGCACGCTATGTTGCTCCTGGGAGACACAGACCGGAGCACATGGCTGCAGCGAAGAGGGTGTTGCGTTACTTGTGCAGTACGTCGGGCATGGGGCTTGTGCTTGGAGGGCAGAGTCCAGTGGTCCTCACTGGGCACGCAGACGCTTCTTGGGCTGACGACCAGGCTACGCAGCGGTCGTCACAGGGTTACACCTTCAGCCTTGGTTCCGGCTCTGTTTCGTGGCGGGCTACCCGCTCGTCTTCTGTTCTCGGCTCCAGTTGTGAGGCTGAGATCTACGCCGGGGCCATGGCTGCACAGGAGCTTCGCTGGCTCACCTACCTGCTGACTGGCCTCGGAGAGCTGCCTCGTTCTCCTCCAGTGCTGTACGTAGACAACAAGGCCATGCTGGCCTTGTGTCGAGAGCAGAGACTGGAGCACAGAACGAAGCACATTGCTCTCCGCTACTTCCTTGCTCGTGAGCTACAGCAGCGTGGTCAGCTGCGGCTTGCGTACGTGGCCTCTCAGGCCAACACTGCTGATATCTTCACCAAGGCACTTGCGCCTTGTGATCATCAGCGCTTCTGTACTCAGCTGGGTCTTGTGCCTACCTTGCCTCACTTGCTCACCCCTTGACCTTGTTTGTACTGTTGCATATATATATATACACCTGCTCTTGCTTGTCTAGCCTTATATATATATGTAATCCTGCATGTGAACTGGCCTTGTGGCCTTGAACTTGTGCTCGGAATGTGTGGTGACTTTGTGATCCACCCTGAGCTTGCTTTGCTTTGCTTGACTGGTCTTGTGACCCCTTGTTCTCCCCCACTTTGCCTATGGGGGTGTGTCAGATTTATATGACATAGCTACTGTAGGCTATAGTGGGGTAGCACATATGGGGTACAGTTTTCTAGGGTTTACATTTGTACCCAACTTTCCCTTAGTCAATCCAATTCTCGTTCAGTTTCTCAAAAATGTCATAGTGCCGATTGGGCTCCCCATAACTCGTACCCCATCCACCGTTGTCGCCAGGCCTTCCGGTAGTTGCCCCGCGCTGCCTGAGGGGCTCCACGCGGACGATTTGGCGAGGTTGCATCGTAGGCCGCGCTCGCCCAATTCGTCTCGTATCATGTTTAACGCCCTTGTTGCGTGTGCTGGGTCGCCCACGATCGTGATGTCGTCCGCGTACGCCATCACAGTCACAGTTGGAAGTGCCTCTACTGCTACTAAGAGCGATGGTTGAATGGCCGCTGCGAAGAGCATCGGTCTTAGTGGTTCACCTTGACGTACTCCCCGCGCACTGTCGATGTGCGACGTTTCGAACCCGCTGTCCAGTAAGAGCTTGGATGGTGCGCCGTAAAGTGTATGTGCCAGCGGCATGAGCGATGTCAATCTGGTCCACCGCAGCGTTGAGAGAAAGCATCCGTGGTTGCACTGAGTTGAACGCGTTGTCAATATCCAACTGCAGGACTACCCTTGTCGGTTCTTCCGCCGTAAGCGCCCTCGTCGAGTGAATAATGCATTCCACTCCCCCCGGCATCGCTACCCCGAATTGCACTGGTAGAAAGTACGCTTGGATTTCTCCCGCCAGTTCTTTTAGCGCCGCTTTGGATGCCAGTCTTAGGGCGCGTGTTCTTGAGGTCAAACTTTTGCCAAAGTTTGAACTTCTAGAAAGACTGTACACTGTAGGATAAGTTTGAGGGACGTGTCGCCACGGTACAAAGCGGTATTAGGCTTGAACTTTCACAATTTACACCACAAGACACACGCCCTTAGCAACGCCTCTCCTGTTGGCTTCTCCAGGGCGATTATCCTAGATGGCAGTAGTAGCTCCTGTACTGGCTCGTTCTGGTACGTACTTAGTAGCCGATTTGCTACTTTGTGGAGCAGTGCGAATACTTTCAAGTTGGTTAGGGCTGGATCGCATAAGTGCTCGAAACGCATCCCTGGTGGTCCCGCTCCTATCCCGTTTGGGCATTTCGCCAATACCTCACGAAACGATTCCGCACTGATGGCGAGCGTGGATGTTGCGTAACCGGTGAGGCCTTCCGGTATCGCAAAATCTGGACTTAGGTGTTTCGAGCGGAGTGCCTCTAATTGGTCCGCGATGTCTCTGCTAGTGGAGAAGTGTGTAACGCCGCTGTTGCCTTCGCCACGTTAGCTTTCCGTACCAACCTTTTCGCTCTGCCGCATATGCCTTCGGGGTCGGGTTCATTCCTGTAAGGATTGGAATTTGGGGGGAAGGTGATGGCCTCGGTGTACAGTGCATCCCAGTCCTCCTCTCGGAATTTTCAAAGCCGACCCTCGAATGCTTGCCATCTGTTTCAGGAGCTTTCTCCATGCTCGCCCGTAGTGTGAGTCAAGGGGGAGAAATTGCAAGATTCTCCACGTACCGAGGCAGTCCGGGTGCTTCGAGAGACGCAATAGTGGTACGGTAGTGCAGTGGCTGAACACCTTCAGAATTTCTGGCGGAAGCTTCCGCACCAGGAATGGCTGGGCGCTGGCGTGCAGTGGGCCCAGATCCCAATCGAACACCCTTCGCCACACGTCCTCATCCTCGGCAATTTTCATGGGTGCTCGCTCCTTGCTGGCAGCCTCGTTGGCCTCCTAGGCCTTTGATTCGCCCACTTGTGCAGTTGCATTCCCAGTACCGTGTCCTTGAGGGCGTCCACGTCTTCTCACCCTGTTCCCTGTTGTGGGGACCCCATCCTCTGCATCAACAAAGACGTCCTCTAACTCTGCCTCCAGTTCCTCCATATATTCTGACCACTCCTCCTCTCCTGCAGGTTCATTCGTTGGCTCAACCCCATTTTCCTCCAGCCTCTCGTGCCTTTCCCGCCAGTTTCCAAATCTGGCTTTCTCCCTTGCAACCGATCTCACCAGCTCACCCACGCGCCTGCCCCTGCCCCGTCCTCGCCCGCGGCCTCTGGTGGCCGCCCTTGCCGTCGCGTTTCGAGGCTGTTGGCCTGCCGCTTGTTTGTCTGCTCTCTCCTGCAGCGCTTTCTGCCGGCTTGTCCCTGCTCTCAAGCGCTCGCCGCCTGAGCCACTTCATAGCCGTCGTCCCCTGCAAGCTCTTTCGATCGTCGCTCTCCCTCTTCCTCTACCTGTGTCTCCCGGCGACGTGTTGATGACGGGAAAACGCCGTCCCCAGCCGCGGCAGGCGCACGCGGCGGGGTACTTTGCTGTTCCCAGCCTGCCAAAGGCCCAGGGCGGTCTGGCGCCAGTCCTGCCCCGAGCCGCTGCTGCCCTGGCTGAGCACGAGGAAGCCGGGACCCCTTCCTGACCCCTCTCCTCGTGGGCGTACCCACCTTCATCTAAGAGCCCGTGGTGGTTCCTTTCGTCGTCGTCGACCGCCTCGCCCTCCTCCTGCTCTCCACCGGTAGGTCGGTGGCCCGCATCTCCAACCTCCCTCTCCTCTGGTATCCCAGTCGCCTCCTCAACTGCCTCCGCCGGTGCCGTCACAGCAATCCACCCAGCAGCAGTCGTCCGGTCCCGTCGTGTCGTCCCCTCAAATGTCCCAGCCCTCACCGCTGTCGGTGCCGCTATCAGCGTCAGCCTCCCCCCAACCCCTTCCTCTTGCGCCTCCTCCGACCGTGGAGTCCGCCGAGGCACAATCTCGTGCCTCCCGTTCCCCCTCCTCTGGGCCTTGCCATTCTGCCGCCCGAGCTTCCCCAGCGTCATCATCCGCTTGTTCCTTTGGACCCCGCTCCCGTTGCTCGATTCCCTCCCCCTCGTGCCCGACTTCTCGAGCTTCTGCCCGACGCACCTAATCCTGAGGATGACGAGAAGTGGTGGAACGGTGAGACATGGGAGTCCCCTCCTTAGACCGGGACAATGTGGGGTGGGGACTAGGACATCTAGTCCGACTTCGTGCTTGACGTCCTCCTCTTGGAGCGGCACATGGTCGGGGTTGGCGAATATCTTTCCCACGTGGCGACGACTCTTGAGCAACTGCATGCAGGCTTGGAGGCGCAGAACTTCGTGTTGCGGGATCCCCACCTGACAGAGCACCTTTAAGTATATTTCAATCCTCGCAATCTTTGTTTTGGGAAAACTTCTTAGAAGAGTCAAATACTTTACACACAGAAGTAATAAACGAGATGGAACGTCTACATAAGACAAGCTCACCTATTATTCATGTTCGTGTTAACGTAATCGCATCACGTCCTGCACGTGCTAACTTCGCATTGCATAATGTTCGTAAGTTCATATTGGACTGCATTTATGACATGATGTTTATGAAATCATTTAATTTCATTGAATTCTTGAGACGCACCTTTCACATGAGCAGACGCACGGTGATGCACTAAATATTTTTTCTGTATTTCGTCAAGTTTCTGATTTCGGTGGCATGCTTATTTCCTTCAATAATAAGCATGTCTCAGTCTCACAAGGTATACGATAAAATTCAGTTTGTTGTCCTGGAATACATTTTGATGCCAAATACATCTGTAATATGCTTTTACCGTAATCCACGTTCGTCTCAAGCAACTTTTTATCAATCATTACGATCAATTCTTGATGCAATTCCTTCGACCCGACATATTATGATAATTGGTGACATCAATTTTGATTTCGGAGTTTCTATGCCAATGCTTTTGATCCATTTGATGGAGAATGCAAGTATGACTCAATGTGCTGAATCGTCGACTGCTGTGCGGAATACCCTTATTGATCATGTTTGGCTTGATGTTGCTAAATCTGATGTTGAAGTTATTGTTGGTGAATCATTTTTCAGCGACCATTTTCCTGTGTATGTATTGATCAAAATATCAACAAAGTGTATTTCCCATACAGGTGGCTCTCTAGGTAATGACAAAAAACACTTGCGAAGGTGCGAGTGTTTTAATTTGTGTATTGTGTCGCGTCACAATCTTGTTAGACTGATATACCATCCTTTCACATTGTTTTTTGTACATACTTGTCGTCTCACACACTCCGCATACTATTGATGCAATGCATGTTCCGTAAACATCTACATATTCTCATAATCATCTTCTCATGATTGCTTCTCTCTCTCTCTCTCTCTCTCTCTCTATCTCTCTCTCTCTCTCTCTCTCTCTCTCTAATGGGCCGTGTATTGATAGGGTAGGAAGGTACAAGCATGCAAGGTATAATCTCAGGTTCTAGGTAACACACAAACACAAAACACTAACAACCTTCAAACTACAACTCCACAAGGGGCTCAAGGACTGCGAAGCAGTCCCCTAGGTGCAACTTTTCCCCAATCCCACCCACTGGTGGGTTCGCTGCTGCCGCTGCCTCGCCCAACTTGATCAGCAAACCAACTGATTGGGCCCGCTGAAGAGCCACTGACCACCGCTGCCGAAACTGGTGCAGAAATTTGGCGGCATAATAAGATTTGGAGTCAGCGTTGAAGTGGCGCCGAGCCGCTGTGTCTGCAAGTAGCTTCAGAAAAACCGGTACATCCACACACGGGCAGCCGTATGTCTCTACGGCCAGCGGAAAGAAACCGACTGTCTCTGGTCTGTTTGAGTAGTGTTTGATTTTCTTGTTGGCCTGCTCCCTTGCCGCCCATCCCCTTTCTTTTTGTGCTTCCGGGTCCCTCGTGCTGATTGGGTCTGTGATCGTGACATCACACACCCAGACCGCCCCGCTGCTTCTGTTCGTCATCGTTAAGTTGGCTGTTTGTTCCTCGATGGGGCAGTATGTAGCTGACTCGCTGTGAACGATAAATCCGGCGTCCTGGGCCATGCTGATGCATGCGTCCCTGAGCTCGTTATGAGTGTTGATGCGCTGCTTCCCCGTGCCGCATCTAAACAGGTGATTAGGAAGTCGGGGGTCGGTGATGGCAGTGTGGTCCGCACAATCACAGTTTTTGGGAGTTGAGAAAGGGAGACCCAGGCGGAAACGGACGGCATTAGCAAAGTTCACTGGCCCTATGCGTCTATTCGCTGCTATGGGAATCGCCGTGAGCCAATCACCCGTGCCATATCCCGTGAGCGAAAACATCCGCTATGTATGTCCCGAGAGCGGGTTCAACTCCATCTTCCTAGTCGCCTGAACCTGCACCGCATAGCGACTGCCGTGGACCTGAAGAGCCAGCGCGTGCTGCAATCGTATGTCTGAACGCTCCAATCTCTCCTTCTCTAACAGCTCACGCGCGTCACCTGGCAGGGCCATTTCGCACTCCGCAAGCCAGGTGTGGAGCGGCGTGCTGTCATCCCGGGGCAGGAGCATGTGCTGACGTGCTAGCGCGAGGGCGTTTCCTACGTATAGATTGAGGGAGGAGAGAAGTAGTGCCGCCTGGGTGAAGCTAGCTACGAATCCGTAGACTCCTTCGATAGTGGGGTCTGAGATGCCGACACCTCCTAGCGACGATGGCAGCGATGCCTAAGCCCAGACCCGTGTTTGCTCGTCCCTACTCGATGGAAGACGGATGTCGCATGAGGTAAGTAACGCGGTCAGAAGGTCACGACCCCACTGGGCCCAGGTGTCTCGGGGGAGGAGATGGATGGGAGTCGTCCTGGTGAGGTAGGCGACACGCCGTGAGATGCAGCGACTGATGAGTAACGAGGCTACTTGGGGATCGGCCCGCTCAATGAGTGGTAAGGGTTTCGCCATTTCCTCCAGCTGGCCCGCTAGGAATTTGGCCGCACCGTTGGCCGGCCCGATGTAACTGCCTAGCAGCTGAACCCCGTCGGCTTTGAACGGAACTCCCGGTGGTAGTCGTGTTTCGTCTGCCACCGTCTTGCTCCATGCCGCGCATTTCTGTGGGTTGTGTGTCAGACCCAACTGCTGCAGCTTCGAGGTGAAAATTTTGAATGCAGCTACAGTAGCAACATGTTCGCCCACGAAGGTCACGTCGTCTGCATACGCCAAACATAGCACGTCCGCGTGGGCCTCGGCTGTTTCGCGGAGTGTCGGGTGAATCCCTGCCGCAAACAATAATGGCCCCAGAGGATCCCCTTGTCGGACACCCCGTTCGCTTATCAGGGGTTCGCTCTCAAAACTGACGTCCAGATGTAACCGCGAGGGGTTACCGTATGTCAGCTGCACAAAAGGTTGCAGCGGTGAGAGATTGGGCTCCTGTAACGCGGTCGCAATGGCCTGTCGCGAGATAGTGTTGAAGGCGTTCGCGATGTCAGCTTGCAGAACCAGGCTGTTGGGGCGTGTGTCCAAAAAGGCCCTTGCTGCGTGGATCATCGCCTCGGCTCCACCTGGCACTGCTACACCGTACTGTAGTGGTAAGAAATGTTCGCGGGCAGCATCGCCCATGACCGCCAGTGCAGCTTTAGCAGTCAAACGGGTCAGGCATTCGCCGATGGCGATTGGTCGAGCTCCTCCACCAGGATTGGCCAACGCGACGAGACGCGACGAAGTCAGTAGGTCTGCCACCGGGCCCGGCAGGTTTCCCCCCAACAATGTATTTACCAGGGCATGCAGATGGGTGCTGACCCGCGCGTTGGTTACCGCGGCATCTCGTAGATGTTCGAAAGTCATGCCAGATGGTCCAGCACCCACGCCGTTTTTGCATCTCCCCAGCAGTTTGGCGAAATCGGCATAGGCGATGGTCATGTCAACGTCTCGTCCCCTGCTGACGGATGCTTTTTGTGGAGTTCGGCCAGAATTTCCGGGCTTGGTGTACAGACCGGTGTTGACTCGAGGGCCAGCACAGCTCGCCACAGGCTGCCACGTTTCGCCAGCCCCTCGGCTCGGCTGATGGCCCCGGTCGAGTCGGGCTGATGTCGTGACGCGGGTGGCGTGTTGACTGCGTTTACTGCGTCCTGGTATAGCTGGTTCCATTCGCCATGTTGGAAGGCTCGGAGGCGGGCCTTGATTTGGGGCCAGTCTGGGCGCCTTGGCGATGTTTGGCGAAGCGTCAAGCGGGGTAAAAATAGTAGCAGGCGCCAGCCAGCTTCCGAATCCGGGTTACGCGACATGTAGAGAAGCGGGGTCAGTAACGCCAGCGAGAACAGCTGGCATAGATTTGGCGGCAATCGTCGAGTCAGCGACGGTTGTCGACTGTCACACAGGGCTGACATGTCCCAGGTTGCAATGTCGGCGAACTTATCTTCCTGCTTTGCCAGCTCCTCTAGTGAAAAATAGCGCGCTCTCTGGGTTGCTGGCGGAGGCGCATTCCCGATGTTGGCAGTTCTGTTTCGGCGAGAGCGATTCAACCTCGCGTTCTGTGAGACGGTCGGAATTACGTCCGTCCGATCAGTATCTGACGGTCCCTGCCCTGCTTCCGGCTGATGCGAGACCAGCTCTCTTGTTCCTAACTCTGTTCTTCCTCCCGTTTGCCTTGCTCCCTCTTCCTCCTCAGAAACCCCGTCTTCACTCGTGGGGATCGCTTCCTCTCTATAAGAAGGGTCTGCAGCTTCTTCTTCGTCATTAGCTGCTTCTAGAGCGTTTAAAGCCTGCCGCCCTGCCGCTTGATACCCGTTCTCCGGTCCCCCACCTGTTCCGCTACCAACCTGCCTCCTAGTCCCATTCTCCCTTTGGTTCCAGGATGGTGATTTCCGGAGGGCTTGAGCCGTCGCTAGAGCGCGCTGCCACCTCGTCGGCTGCGCCCGCCAATTCCCAGACGGTGGCCGAAAAGGCGACCACGGCGACAAAACCCCCGCCGCCGCCGGCTACGAAGCCCGGGACAGCAGTCTCTGAAATGCCTCCTCCCCTCGCACCCGCGGTTCCTGCTGCGGTGTTAACGCCTGCCGAATCTGCGCCTGTCCCTGCGCCGTCCGCTCCGGCTGCTGCCGCCGTTCCCCTGGCTCCCCCTGTCGTGGCGCCAGCGACTGTCTCTGTCGCGGCTGGTGTTGATCCGCCTGTTCCTGTTCCTGCCGCACCTGTTGCACCGCCCGCTGCTGTCCCCGCCGTGTCGGCGCCTTCCGCTGCTTTGTCACCGCAAGCGGCGTCCGCCACCACTGCCGGCCCGGCTCCGTTGGTTGCGCCCTTGGCGCCTGCTGGGACGCCGGTGGCCCCGGCGGGTCAGCTGTCACGTCCCTCCTTGCCTGACCGCCGCCTGTCTCGCCCCCATTCTCCTGCGCTCCACCAGGAGCGCGCGTCGTCAAGGCGCCGGCGTGAATCACCTCGGCGCAATCACCAGCAGGCTCAGTGGCCTGCTCACCCTGGTGGCCATAGAGGCTGGAGGGGTCCCCGCGGGCGTGGTGGTGGCGGGGCATACCGGCCGCCTGTGACCATGGCAGATCTTCAGAGGGAGGTTTCGAGGGCCGTGCCCGAGGAGAGGGCAGCGCAGAACCAGAGTAGTTCGCTGCGGGCCGCGCCGGCGCATGTGGCTCCACGTCAGGCTATCCCTCCCGTGGATCTTCCGCCAGCAGCTGCACGTCCCTCTCCTGTCCTTGCCCCTTCGGCTCCTGCTCCTACTGCCTCGGCTGCTGATCCTGGGTCTCGTCTTCGCCTGCCGCCCGTTCCGCCGGTGGCGGGTGTCGAGTTCGTTCCTACTGTTGGGGGGGCGGCGGGGGCGCAGTACCCTCCTTATCTTGCTGCTGATGAGCCGCTTCCGTTCTTGGCGGTGGCACTTCAGCCCCCGCAGACCCGTGTTCCTGAGGCGACGCTCGGACAGCTGCACCATCTTGCGGAGAGCCTTCACGCGCTGCTGCTGATTCAGGTGCTGGCTCACTCGTCCCTCCCTGCAATTCCTGCTGACTCGTTTCATGACCGGCCGCACGAGACTTGCCTGGACGCGGCGGACCAGCTCGCACAGCTGCTGGCGCCCGCGTTGGCTGCGCCCGCAGAGGGTGGCGCTGCGGCTGTGGGACAGCTTGACGAGGCTGTCCGGGGCTTGAGGCGACACTTGCGTGCAGGATCTGGAGCCGCGACGATCGGCGCAAGTACGCTGTTGGTCCGTGAGCTGTGGCGGACGTTGACGGGCATTCTCCATGCCCTCGGAGCTCAATGGATGTAGATCCGGGCTCCGCTTGCCCCGTTGTTGCCATTGTTGCTTAGGCCGTTGTTGATGCTGCCATTGCTTGTATGCCATTTCGTATAGTCACTTGTATGTGTGTTCCCTTGCCGTCCCCTAGCGCGCGGCCGAAGGCCGCGCTGTTGAGCGTCGGTCGCCGAAGGCGGCCGGCGCGAGCCGCTCGGTTTGGAGAGTGAAACCGCCGCTGGAATGAATAATGAGGAAATGAACAAGGCTCTAGAGCCTTTATACTAGGTGGCAGGTGGGTACGGAGGCTAAGGGAGAAGCCTAGGTGCCTCTCTCTCTCTCTCTCTCTCTCTCTCTCTCTCTCTCTCTCTCTCTCTCTCTCTCTCTCTAATGGCCCGTATATTGATAAGCCAGAAGGGTACACACATGCAATGAGAGACAGCAGTGTTATAGTCACAATAGGCTTGAATGTGCCTAAAACGAAAGATAGAGAGCACAGACGGATTTCTGCACAGCGGCTTCAAACGTTGATAGCGTTCTGCTCACAGCTGCAAATGACCTGATTCAAATTGGATCTGGAGCGTCTTCACGTCGTCTACAATTAGCAATTTAGATTGCACGATTTGATAAAGAATTGACGACACAGCGTCGGTTTGAACGAACGGTACTATGGCAGCCACTATAGTCTTAGAACACAAGATAGGAAGAGTTACGAGTTGGGAATGACTCCCAGCTCCTACAAACCCCAAGAGCCGAGGTACAGTGATGTGTAACAGTGCCACACTGTCCCCAACCACGAAGGGTCTCGAAACTACCCTTCACTAGGGCCTACACCAAGTGAAATGTTACACTACACAAAGTAATGTAAATATCTTCAATATCTTGAGGTGTACCCTTTTTGGCGAGCTTCGAAATCACTTGAGGCTTGACACCAAGGCTCGGGCTCTTCATCACAAACTCATCCTTGAGTTCTTGATGGGTGTGCTGCACACACCTGCGACACGCCGAACGTTCGACACAGGACAAAATAGAAACCGCGCACGACAAAATAGAAACCGCGCGCGAGACACAAACGACCGCGTAACACGCGTCTAGCGATAACTCGCTATTGACTCGACACACACACTCGACATCATGACTCAACATTCACACACAATTATAAGCATGAAATATATATTATCCCATGCCCTCATACCATTCCATACACACACACATTCACGCACACGGACAACAAGCCGAGTGCAAACCGTAGGGTTGCACCAACAAACTCCCCCTCGGATTGTTGGCCTTAGGATATGTTGCTCTCTCAGTTCAGAGCCATCCCAGCCAGCTTGCAACACTTCCAATGCTGCTGCTCCACCAGCCTCTTGGTCATCATGTCAGCCGGCTGCCCCGTGGTCTTCACGTAGCGCAACTCAACTTCACCCGCGGTTACCATGCTCCTCGTCCAATGCCACTTCACCCTCATGTGCTTCGTGAGTCCATGCAACACAGGGTTCTTAGCAAGAGCAATGGCACCCTGGCTGTCACAGTACAGTGGGGTAGGTCCTTGCTGCTCCTCCCCCAATTCAGCCAACAAACGCCGCTGCCACACAATCTCCCGTACGGCACGGAAGAGTGCCATGTACTCGGACTCCACCGAGCTCAAAGCTTGGTCAACCTGCTTCTTGCTCTCCCAAGCAGTTGGGCCTCCACCAACACAGCATATGAAGCCTCCCACACTTGTCATTTCCTCTGGTTCTGATGCATATGAAGCATCCGAGTAGGCGGTGAGGAACAAACGCCCGGGTTCAACACCATCCGCGCCCTTTTGGCGCCTTTGTGCCGCCGCCGAGTATTGCAGCCCAACGGTCGGTGTTTGGCCAAGATACTTGGCCACCCTCATTCCAGCTGCTACCTGCTCCTCATTAGGGCATTGCACAACCCTAGCCAGCTGCCCGGTAGCAAACGCGACGTCCGGTCGGGTGTTTACCGCCGCATACATGAGGCTGCCCACCAACGAGTGAAATCGGCGCCTCCCCTCTTCACCAACGCTCTCCTCCTCTGGTCCCTTCACACACTTGAACCCAGAGGGAAAGGGTGTAGCCACATGGCCTTCACTCTGCCCAAAGTTGGCAGCCAATGCCTCCAGGTACTTTCGTTGATGCACCCGCATGCACCGCTTCTCCACATCTCGTTCGATGTGGAGCCCAAGGTAGAAGCTCACGTCACCAAGGGCCTTGCACTTGAACTTGTCTTGAAGCTTCAGCATCACCTCCTTCACAAGGTCAGAAGAGGGTGAGAAAATGAGGATGTCATCCACATAAACCACCATGAAACTCCTCTGCTCCCCCTCGCCAAGCATGAACAAGGAGTGATCGGCCGTTGAGGGAGTGAAGCCGATCCCCTCCAACACTTCGCGCAGCTTCATGTACCATTGCCTAGGGGCCTGCTTCAGCCCATAGAGGGCCTTCTTCAGCTTCCACACTCTGCCACTACCATCATCAAACCCCTCTGGATGCCGTTAAGGAATGCCGTTACGATGTCCATTTGCTTTACTACCCATCCTTTGATGGCGGCTCCCGCGAATAGGGTTCGCAGCGTCGTCGGCTTCACCACAGGGGCAAACAGCTCCTTGAAGTCCACCTTCTCCTTCTGCTGGTACCCCTTGGCTACAAGCCTAGACTTGTAGCGCTCGATCTTGCCGTCGGCATCCGACTTGATTTTGAAGAGCCACTTGGACGTTATCGCCGTACGCCCCTCCGGTAGCTCCACCAATTCAAACGTGTCATTCTCCTCGATGCTCTTCAGCTCACTCTCCATGGCCTTCTTCCACTCCTCAGCATCACTACTCTCCAAAGCCTCCTTGAGAGTTGCTGGTTCTTCCGGCATCTCCACCGGAGAGAAGAACGCGAAGGCACACTCCTCGTAGTCACTCTCCTTGTCGTCTCCGACCATCATTGCCGCTCCGGCCAGGGCTGTCTTGCCCTGCTTTCCCGGCGCATCATAGGTCAGCCTATTAGGGGGTTGAACTCTCCTCTTCCCCCTTCCTTCCTCCTCAGCTGCAGGGACTTGAAGGCCTTGGCGTTGCTGCGGTGTGGCTCGAATCCGTGGAGCACTCATAGTACGGGAAGGGAGTGACGGTGCACGCTCGCTCACTTGCTGCACCTCCTCCTCTTCTTCCTCTGCATCATTGGCCTCCTCTCCCCCATTCACAAGGGAGGATTGCCTTGTGGTTGTGCTGCCGCTGCTCAGCTCCAAAGGCAGCTCCACATGCTCCAAACCGGAACTCTTCACCTCCCCAAACCGCACGCCTATCTTCGCCTCATTCTCCGCCTTCCAATCCTTGTACATGAAGTTCTCCATGAACTTGCAGTCCCTGCTCACCAAGAACTTCTTGGTGAATGGGTCCCGAAGAAGCCATCCCTTGCTGTTTTGAGCCATGCCCAAGTGCACGGCCCACACCGCCTTGGCACCAAGCTTGTTGTGCCGAAGATGCTTAGGCACGAGCGCCATGCACATGCACCCGAACACCCGAAGCATATCCACCTTTGGCTTCCTTCCTAGCCACTCCACATAGGGCACCCATTTGTCTGCTCCCACATGAGTCAAGGCTCTGTTCTTGGCCACACACGCGCTCCGCACCGCATCAGGCCAGAAATAGTCGGGTAGCCCGGCTTCAATGAGCAACCCGCGTGCCGCCTCCGTGATTGTGCGGTTCGCTCGCTCGGCGATGCCGTTCATTGCAGGGGAGTATGGCATGGTGAGGGAGTGCCGAATACCATTCTTCTTCAGCCACAACCCAAACTCCTTGCTCAGGAACTCTCCCCCTCGATCGGTGCGGATTGACTTGACTAGACGGTCTTGTTGCCGCTCCACCATCGGGAACCAATCCGTCTTCAACGTTTCAGCCACGTCGCTCTTCTTGGCCAGCACGTACACCCAAGTCATGCGGGTGTAGACGTCGACAATGGTGAGAAAATACTCAGCTCCAGCAGCTCCAAGCTTCAGGGGGCCCACCACGTCCATCACCACCTCATCAAGCGGTGCCTTTGCCGTTGCCTCCGAACTAGGGAACGGAAACCGGGTGAACTTGGCTTGAATGCACGTCGGGCAGCCAAGCACCTCATCGGGCTCCCCCTTCACACGTATGCCAGCAACCATCTCATTCTTCACTAGCTGCTGCAAGATGGGCAGGGCCACATGCCCCATGCGCCGATGCAAGGTGAGCCAATCACACTCCCCCGTAGCCGAAGTTGGATTGGAGAATGCCGCGCTCGCAATAGCGCCCCACATACTCTCTCCGTAGTCCTCCTCCGCTGCTGCCTCTGGGTTCTCCTCACCCTTTTGCTGCTCCTTGGTTGCTGCACCACTCTCCTTAGGTTCACTGAACTTGCTGGTCCCTCCAGGTTTGCTCTTCTTGAGCTCATTCTCCTTAGCGCGACCGTTCGCGGCATCGTCGCTACCGACCGCTCCATCCCTGGTGCTGATGCTTGCTGCCACTTGCCTCTCCTTAGGCATAGGGACCACTGGGATCTGCCACATCTCGTTGTAGACATCCCTGTCCTCATGAAGGTCCCAAAGAATTCGATCGCCAAGCCTTGCGGTGTAGGTCTTGGCTCCCTTCGAGTTCGTGTCCATGCCGGCCTTTGCCAACCGCCGCACGGAAATCAGGTTTGCAGCAAGGCTGGGCACCCAAAGCACGTTCTTGAGGCCCAACATCTTCCCATCAGCACCCTTGAACATGGCCTTGCCCATGCCTTTCACCTCTGCTCGCTGCCCCAAAGCCGATGTGACATGCTTCACCGGTGACGGCTCGAGTTCGGTGAGCAAGTCCGGGCGAGGTGTCATGCTATAGGTAGCGCCACTATCAATCACCCAATAGTCCAGGGGGTGTAGGGTCACCTTCCCCACAGCTGCTGGCTCCTCAAAGCCTTCATCCTTCTCTGGACCAGCCGGTACTTGCGTCGACACGAAGTAGAATAGACCCGGGTATCGATCGTCGCTCGGGTCCTTGTCATTGTCTCCGCTCTTCATGTTTGCAGCTCCGCCACCGC